CTGGTAAGACAACCTGCCACCATTTTACTGAAGCCCACATCGGGGCATACACATCTAAATATTTTGTTCGCTTCAATGACATTAGAGAAGACTTCTGACAAGATATTTTATCTGAACCTGTAATCTGTCTGACCTGTCTCTATCTCCAGTGCTTTCCAATAAACATACTGTTTAAACAAATAATTGAAAACACACTCTAGTAAGTTCAATATAAATGTAAGAGCCATATCATCTATCCAGTTTAAATCAACATTCATTTTACTATGAAAATATATGAAAGCAATTTTACTAAAATTACATTCCTAGTAGTGCAGTTTGAAAAAGAGCCAAGGCATTGGTTCATTTCTGAAAAAAAAGAGGAATATGTGATCACATCCCTGCTCTCAGACTCGGTATCTGACCCCTTACATTGCATCAAGGCCAAAGCCTTCTAACAGCTGGGAAGGAAAGGGACAGGGGAAAATCAGGACACTTCGAATTTGTACAGCAGCTCACCACTACCAAAATACTTTGTGTAACAGCCTGGTTGTGCTGGAATCCAATTGCAACTACACAGACTATAAGCTTTCAGAAAGAGTATTGGTAATACCAAAGGTCAGGCTGTAGCCTTAATGAGGCCTGGGACAAAAAGTCTGAAATTTGAGAGCTGTCACAGTAGCTTTGACAACATGATTCTGACAGTTTGCCTTGCTCAGTGTGTGTGGCTATGCCAAGGATGTAAAACCTGTTGGAACGGTGTTATAAAAGGGAGACAAACAGGCAGCATCTCATCCACAGGTTCTACAAACGATCCCAAACAAATTCCAAAACTACTACACTTGGCTTTTGTCTCAGAGAGCATGAGTTCATTCACTCCAGAAGGGGAGCAATACAGATACAGTTGTGGGTAATGAGAAAAACAGGTTTGCTACATTAACTGACAGAAGACTCATTTTTGATAGCAGCTGCTTGGAGGGATCTCTGCTTCAAGAGATTGTCACTCCCATTAGAAGCCAGATGGATAATTTATTATTCACGTTCCAAACACTGCTAGTAACACATTTTCTAGTAAACAAGCATGCAATTGTCTATCACACATTCACTATCAGAAAATACTACTTATATCTGTTGGAGAGACTGAGGTATATTCAAGTTTTTTATGGTCGTTCTCTGAGCACATTAACATTCAACATATCCTAATCAGCTTCTCTTTCAAATTACATTCTGGCTCTTCAAATCAAAGGCTAACACGCCTCCTTGATTGGCAGCCCAAATTATTTTATTTCTTTGCCTTTTGGGACAAGCTGGTAAAAGCATTTTTCCTAGGGAGAAACAGGAATGCTTCTATTTTATTTTTTCTCACTTGGTCTGAGAAGGTAAAAAAAATTATTTATATTCAGCATAACCTTTTGTTACTAAAAGGAAGGGAAGGGTCCCTGAAGCCCTTCATTTTATGCTTTTTAGTTTAACGATACAAACATCTTTTGAAGTATAAATTCATTAGCAGCATTTCAGCTCTCTGCTACAGAAGCCTGGAGGAAAGAAACCTTAGTACAGAATATGTTTCTAGCACTGAAGTTTACAGTTCTATTCAATCTTTATGTCGAATCAGGATTTCTCTGTTCATTCTGAAAGAGGTTTGACCTTAATTGGCTTTATGTCTTTCCACTTCTGTCACAACTTATTTTTGCTTTAAAAGGTGAGAGGCTGGAAAGTGGTATTCCAAGGTAGGTTTGGAGAACATCAACAAGCCTTTATGAGTGTAATTAATACATTTAATAGGAAAGTAATCTATGAGCAACATGATAAAGGAGTATCCTCATGCAGACAAGACCAATATATTTATATAAAACTTAATTGAAAATAACATTTGCTAATAATAAATCTAGTACGCTTCCACTAATAGTCATAAGCAATCCACCACAGAGTGGAAAAATAATTTGCCTATAGACATTACAAAATAATTTGACTGAAGAATTTCAGGGTCTATATTTACCTTTAGGTTTCAGATATGCAGGTTCATATACACAGTTACTGTATATGCTATAGCAGGAGACTACATTATCAAATATGTCCCTGTTTGACGATGCATTATATAACATTTTGTTATTTGTGGAAAAAGTATTAATTATGTAGCAAACACATTGTAGAAGAAGAAACCAAATGAAAAGAAATGGAGTGCACAGTTAAACTAGAATAGATGCACACATGGAGAGTCACTGAAGTGAAGTTCTAAGAAGGAACTCCCTTCTAAGCTGCTGCAATACAGGAGTCATAAAAGTCATGTGAATAAGCTTATCTATTGAGAGAAATTCACATAAAGCCTAAAATATACATCATCCACACATCAGATGCGGATTTGTCTGAAAGAAGATCACAGAAGAGTTTATCTGAAAAAGAAATCCTGCTTTGTACCTAATGTCTGGTCATTTCTCCTTAAACCTGTGAGTAAATCCCTCTCAGACTCCACTTAAAGCCTTAAAGGAAAGAGGACAGATCGATCCATTGCCTTTACAAAACAAATGAAAGATAAAGAAGCCTTCATTTGGGACCTCATCTCCCACAACCACTGTAGCAAATAGGATGTTTATTCTACTTGAATTCTCACTTTATCTGATTTACACTTATCTTCTGCTTTAATCAGTCTTTAAAGCATTTTAAAATGCAGTTGAAAATAAACTACCTCAGCAAAGACTCAGCTAAAAATTGACATAACCTCATAGTAACTGCAAAAATATCTACACTATTTATGATTTCTGGCAAGAATCTTGCCAACCCTTTAACACTAAGTAAAGCGACTGGGCACTGCAGTATATCTTCTATATCAATAAATGATTCAGAAACAGATGGTAGAAGTTCCAAAAACATTTCATACAAAAAAAGCCATGCCAATGTTTCTCCTTATAAGGAAAAGACAGCCTTAGGCAACCCTGGATGCTAACTTTAGCAGCATTATTTTGGAGAAAAACAACCTTCAAGAAAAGTAGATCGTGTCATTTTTCACGTGACAGGGCAAAGGTCACCTTGTGTTGTACGTGGTTGTTTAAGACAGCTGTCTTGTTCAGCTGACTTGTAAACGTCTGTGCACCACATGACAGTATCAAACTGACCCTCATGATCATCTTTTCCATTCCCTCCCATCACTTACCCCCATCTGGGTGCATGAGAAACAGGAGCAGCAGTAGCACTCCTCCATTCCATTGTTAATTCAGAATCCTAGACACCTTTTTTTTACTCAGCAAAAAGCATAAGCACTTCCTATAAGTTGTTTGATAACAAATTGCATGGAAATACATACAACAAGGGTAAGAATGTATAAATGAAACCCAAACTGTAAGGACAGATGAAAGAAGAACTAAGGAAGCGACCAGTATTGCGAGATTGAGAACCTGCCAGGACAGGTTTCTGCCAAAACTCCAAAAGTCACCATACTAGTCAGGACTTGCAGAAAGCTTCTAATGCCACTTGTAACCCTGAAGCATAAGGCTAAGACCTTCACAGACAGATAGGCAGTACTCAAACCTGCACGGATAAAACCTGACAAAGCCTCGCGCATTCCCTCTAGCCTTCACGAGCCAAACTGCTGCATCTGTTGCCCCTCTCCCACAGGGCCAGAGCTCAGCTCTTTGCTAAGAAAGGCCATGATTAAACCGAGCAGAACATTTACACAGGGGGGTAGTCACCATTTTCTACCACTGTTCCCCCTCCTATGTCATGACTTGAGCCCCTGAAACATCCTGCAACTTTGCATCCTTCCACATGAGGAAACGTTCAGCTCTGGAGCCCTCAACACAAGAAGGACGTGAACCTGTTGGAGCAGGTCCAGAGGAGACCACAAAGATAATCAAAGGGCTTGAGCACCTCTCCTATGAGGACAGGCTGAGAGTTGTGTTTGTTCAGCCTGGAGAAGAGAAGACTCCGTGGAGACCTTATAGTGGCCTCCCAGTACCAGGAGGGGGCCACAAGAAAGCTGAGGAGGCACTGCTTACAAGGGTGTGTAGTGACAGGACTAGGGGTAATGGTTTTAATCTACAGCAGGTTAGATTTAGATTAGATGTTAGGAAGAAGTCTTTTACAATGGAGATGGTGAAACACTGGGACAGGTTGCCCAGAGAGGCGATGGAAGCACCAGCCCTGGAGACATTCAAGGTCAGGCTTGATGGGGCTCTGAGCAATCTGATCTAGTGAGAGATGTCCCTGCTCACTGCCGGGGGCTGGACTGACTGACCCAGCCCAACGCATTCTAAGAGTCTATGAGCTATGCTGCTGCACAGAAGCATATGTAGCTATAGAAGTGTAAAGCAAAAGGCCTCAGTAGCCCCCCCAGTCAAAGGTCAGCACACTTCCTAAACTCCAGGTAAATGGTATAATAAAATGTATTCAAACATATCCTTTAATAAAAAGGCCACTTTAGCAAAAAACTCCCCAAGCTTCTAGAAGTTCAGAAAGTCAAATAAAACACATTCCAGCCACAAGGACAGACATGGAGATCATTACAGCCAAACACAAGAAAGGAAACACAAAGAGCCCAAGGGTCATAGCCATGTAAGCATCTACCTGGCAAGACCTCCAGAGCATCAGCACAGCCAGCTCCACTGCTGTGAGGCCTGAAGCCAAACTGGGAAAAAAAAAAAAGAAGGTTGCTTTTTGTCCTATAATCCCAAGAGTACCTTCCAGGGCTCACGGGTCTGTTACAAGGAGTGGTTCGTGAACAGCAGGAACTTCTTACAAAGAAGTACAGGCAGTGCATGCACAGCTCACAATTCTACCCCTCTACTTCAGGTCATAATACTAAACTTTGATCCACAGCAAATAGAACATATTCATAAAAAGTAAATGTTCTAGAGTAAAGCACCCATTTTATAAGCTTTTTCTGTACATCATTTACACATAATATGGCTACTGCTAGACTTATATGAAAAACATTTTGTGGGTTGAAAACATTACAGTAAAATAGTTACATAAATAATATGACTTTTTAATTATAATTAAAACATATCTCTTCTAATAAGATCACTTACTGGATGTTTGGCTGAAAGTCTCCCGGTCGCAGTTCCTGTCTGATTCCATGTAGAGGAAATAAATCCCTGTAGTCAAATAAAGTAAAAATCACCAAGAAGAAAAAGATATATACCTAAAAGATACACACCTAAATTTTATTTAATGCAAGTAACAGTAACAAAAAACTTACTGCAATCAGGACTACAAAATCAAAAAGAAATACTTTATAATTTCCCATATAAAAGTCTTTAAACTGTAAACATTGCAATCACTTCACATTCTTTTATGATTTGAAATACCATATTTTACAGGTTAGTTTTTAATATTTCTACCTTTCTCATGCACGTTCGTAGTCCATCCACATAAGTCGATTTCATCTTATGAACCTAAATTACAAAAAAGTTTAGATAAATGCTTATTTATAAATATATAAGATTTTTCAAATTAGATCTTAATTTCCAAATGCATATTAACTTGGAGACATTTTTAAAAAATAGTTTTATCTCAATAAATAATAGATGTATATGCCCTAATAGCCTGGCCTATTAGCATAAGTCAGGTAAGTGCTTGGTTGTACTGTAAAGTCACATCTTTGCAGATGCAGTAAATGAACTATTGAAATTTATCCTTTTACATCTTATATCCCCAGGTCAATAAACTACACAAAAAAGCCATACAAAAAAAACCCCCAAACCAAACAGGTTTAAAATTTTTTAAATCTTGGACACTCATTCATGGAAAACTCAAACATTAAGTGTGAAAGTAGGTCATTTTGGATGTTCAGGAGGCTCTTCACCCCCAAAAACACCCTGTAACTGCCTCCTTCATTTTCTGCAGAGCATTTCTTCAGAATTCAAAAAAATAAATATTTTGCCATAAGAGTGTGTTTTGTAGCAAGACAAATTTAAGTCATTTTTCAATTGTTTTTGTAACAGAAGAGTTTGTTAGATCTAATGTAACAGTGCAAAACAGAAGTATAAACATTATATTTAAAATCTCTTAAGAATACTTACAACTTCAATATCTAAAAAAATTAGATGAATATTTAATGAATTTACATTAGAGCCATTTTTTAATTTAGTTGCAAGTGTATTATCTTTTTTGCTAAGCTCACTTCAGTGCAACTACTTGATGTAAAAAATATCAGCTCACCCGACGGTATTCTAAAATTATCTTAGGCAAAGGATGAAGATCTTGCAACTTATTTAACTGCAAAATAAAGAACATGAATTACTGGTATACTTTTCCATTAAGTTATATTATTTAACAATCTTAGAGTAAGTTTTGGAGGAAGAAATTTTCTCACCAAGCTGACAAAATACTGGCTAAAGAATAATGTCCTGGCAATCTCACCCTGCCTGCAGGAGAAGGGCTGGAGATAATCCTTTCCCACTTCCTTTCCCTTCCTGTCCCAGGCAGGAACAAAAAACCCCAGAGGCATAAAAACTCTTCCACAACAACTTTGAAAACATCATGGCATTAGAGGGTGGGATGCATGTGTTATTTCCAGTTATTTTGATTGAAAATTGCCATACAATTTTGAAAAGGAATGAAATTATTAAAATAGAGACTGGATATTTACAAGTACAACAAAAATATCTGGAATAACAATAGTTCAGGGTGAAAAATATATGCAACAGTACTAAAATAGGGATTTAAAAGCATAAGGTTTTTTCTTGACACAAGGGAGAGGCAACATTAATTATCTAGTACTTATTCATTGGAAGACTTGAGCCTATCTTCCGCTAAATAACCAAGTGTCAGCACTCATTGCATAGTACTGGATTAGACAAAAGCACTGACTGGATTATTGCAATAAATCATTTACTCCCACAAAAAAGATGACATAAATTCAACTTCACTGATCCCACTCATCTCTCAAGGCTCTCTTGTCACTCTCCAAGACTACACTTTTGATCTTTTTACACTTTTGATTTTTGATCCATGAAACCTCCTTCTCCTCGGGTAACGTGTGGTTTTTATGGTCATACAGCTGATGTTACCTCATAGATCATACCTGGTAATTCAGACACTTGGCCCAAAAGCTGAATTTTCTGTTTCACACATGAGAAAAAAATACGACCTTTCTACCCTCCCCAGAGGTTCTCATTCTCAGTAGTGAGTTGTACACTTTAATTTGAGTCCCATGAAAACCAGAGCAATATAACTGCAGCACCAAATCAGAAACAGGTGCAGCCATATAGAGGCTGCTTCTTTTCTGAGAAGGAATTCCATTACCACGATACCCCTACATCATTATCTCTACAAAATGATGTAGAAATGATCCAGGTGAGAGATTAAGTGCACCCTCAGTAAGTTTCCAGATGACACGAAGCCCTGTGGGACTGCTGATCTGCTTGAGGGTACAGAGGCTCTGCAGAGGGATCTGGACAGGCTGGATCAACGGGCCGGGGTCAGTGGTGTGAGCTTCAACAAGGCCAAGTGCCAGGTCCTGTGCTGGGGTCACAACAACCTCAGGCAGAGCTACAGGCTTGGGGAGGAGTGGCTGGAAATCTGCCTGGCAGAAAAGGACCTGGGGAGGTGTAAGTGGACTGCCAGCTGAACGTGAGCCAGCAGCGTGCTCAGGTGGCCAAGAAGGTCAACAGCATCCTGGCCTGTATGAGAAACAGTGTGGCCAGCAGGACCAGGGCAGTGATTGTCCCCCTATGCTCAGCACTGGTGAGGCCACACCTCGAACCCTGTGTTAAGTTTTGGCCTCATCACTACAAGAAAAACACGGAGGTGCTGGAGCATGTCCGAAGAAGAGCAATAAAGGTGGCAAAGGGACTCGAGAAGAAGTCCTCTGAGAGCTGTCTCAGGGAACTGAGGTAGCTTAGCCTGGAGAAGAGGAGGCTGAGGGGAGGCCTTATTGCTCTCTACAGCTACCTGAAAGGAGGTTGTTGCAAGGTGGGGGTCAGTATCTTCTCCCATGCAGCAAGTGATAAAACAAGAAATGACCTCAAGTTACACCACAGAAGGTTTAGATTGGACATTAGGAAAAATTTCTTCACTGAAAGGTTTGTTAAGCATTCAAACAGGTTGCCCAGAAAAGTGCTTGAATCATCATCTCTAGAGGTATCTGAAAGATGTAGATGTGGCACTTACTGCCACTTAGGGACACAGTGGTAAACTCAGCAGTGTTAGGCTAGGTTGGACTTGAAGATCTTAAGAGACCTTTTCCACCCTAAATGATTCTACAAATTCCATGAAAAGCAATAGGTATTGACATTTGTCTCAAGTTACCAAGACGTCTGCAGTATGGTCTTGACCTTATCATTTTCAGACAAATGTTTCTGGCAGGTTTCTGCACTTGCGTGGGGATCACATCTCAACATCTACATTGCTGAAATTTTTCTCCTCCAACACGGACATGAGAAAGCACTGGACAAGCTTCATATGTGCAGTATTTATTGCACTGAATCTGAAGATACATTTGTTCTCTTGTTCAAGAGTATCAAAGTATCTGATGTGCTTGGTCGCTCTTGCTCTAAGGGCACAAGATTCTCCAAAGATCCTTCAGATCTGACTCTAAATGCAAGTGCTCTTATCAAACCCCAATTCAAGCCACAGGTATCAAACAGTTTCCTACAGAGCTCTTTACCTACCATGAATGAATGAGTTAAGGAAGGGTCCATAAAAAGATGAGAACATGTTCCAGCCCAAATCTCCAGACAGTAAAGATAAACTCTGGGCTGCTGTTTCCTTCACCAGCAGGTATTACATTAACATTCATTCCTTTCACCACTGTTCTCTTTCACCCAAACAGTCAGCTGTACTGAGCTATCAAAATCTAATCAGTAACAAAATCTCCTTCCTACGAGGAAGATGCATGGTAGTACTGAAGTTTTAAAACCTGGTTTATAGCTAAAGTTTAGCTCCAGTAGCTAGTTTGTTTTTCCCAGTCATGGAGCACAACTTCCATTTCTGGGATAAGTAAATGAAGTGTGATTAGTACAATGCAAAATAAATAAAGATTTTTAGGAAAACTTTATAGGGGAATGATGATTTCACTGGAAAGTAACTGAGAAGTTTTGCTGTATCATGCAGATGGTTTTAAAACCCTTCCCCATCTCACCATAACTTCTGAGGTGGACACAAGTTGTTGCATTTCAGTTCTGTGAAGCTTCTCACACAGTGCATGCAGCTTTAACTTTCCAAATAGTACCTACAGAAAAAGAAAAAACAAACCCAGAAGAAAACCACATAAGCGAAATGTTTATGTTCCAAGTGCCAAAACAAAAATGTTATTTGGTGTCTGAACTTAACTCTAGAAAACATATTTCAAGGAAATTAGAGCACACTATAGCAGAGAGAACTAACACAGAACTGAGAAGATCAAATCTTTATTTTTCAACTATTGAAAAAGCAGTGTATTTACTAAAATATATTCTAATACAGAATAACCAACATTGCCAGATTTATGAAAAACTGATATGTCCTCCATTAAAATCAGAAAGTAAGATAATTAATATCAAAGAAAAAGAATTTTTAAGTCATAAGGACAATTTTACATGCTTTATAATTCTTTTGTACCTATAACAACTTCCAGAATTTACAAGTATAAATATTACCTCTCTGAGTTGACTGCTGCTGGTCAAAAGGAATTGTTCTCCAGCAGCTTGGTGAGCTTCCTGTTCAAGCTCTTTGAGTCGCAACTATAAATGAGTACATCAGAATTATTCTGTTTACATTGTTATTTTCTTCACTGTCTGCTACTTCCTAGGTTAATGTGTATATAAAAATGGAGCAATTAACAATGTGTAATCATTGCTGGCTATCAACATCTGCTTTAGTAGACGGCTTACAGACTCTAATCTATCATAGAATGGCCTAGGTTGGAAGGGACCTTAGCAATCATCTAATCCAACCTCCCGGCCATGGGCAGGGATATCCTTAACTATATTAATCTATAATTCTTCACGATCTGGGAAGGGGATTTATTGTAGCAAAAAATACCAAAATTGGGGGGAAAATAACTTCGGTTACTGAAGTCTGTAGAGATCTGTGAGAAATAAAGCTATGCAAGTTATTCTGCTAAAGTAATAATCTGTCAGATCACAACGATTATCTAGTCAGATTTCATGCTACACAATAGGATTCACTTGTAGCTATTGTTATCAGTGGGGAAATGGCAAACTTAGAACTCTCAGAACGTTTAAGTAAATAGTGTTTAATTTACAAAGAAAGATGGAAATCTCTACCACTTCTCAGGAAGATGGTTACTGATAACTTTAGGTTTTACTCTACAACACATAACCCAAAAGGACCTGTGCAAAGCAACCCCAGTTCTGGAGCAAGGCTAATGAAGCAAACATCTGTGCTTGCCTAAATAAACATGGAAGTATTCCGAGTGTAAATATCATTAGTTATATTTATAAAATAAAAATATGAGAAACTCCAAGCTGTCATGTAAAATGTGACAAACCAGAAAGTTTCTACCTCTTTTTAATCATTTATCCTCACCAAAAGCAGAAAGATGATGCTATACAATTTCCAAAAGGAAAAGTAAAGACAAAATTTACCCCTAGAATCTCTGATGTCTTTTTCAGTTCTTGTTTGTTCACTTGTATTTTCTGTGTTTCCATCACTGTAAACACAATTATATACTGAGAACATTTACAATTGACAATATTGATCTTACATATGTGTTATACTGTAAAATGGAAACTCAAACTCTCACAGCAGTTAGGAGGCTAAGATAACAGTATTCTAAGCTATAACATTTTACTTAAGTATGGTCAGCAGCTGTGTGCAAATAGTGAAGATTTGTATTTTGAACTGAACTTTCATACCTGCCAGAATTTTGATAAGCGGAAGCTCTAATTTGCAAAATAATTTCCACAAACCTTGAACCTGTAAAGCAAGATACAAATAAATTCTTCAGTATCAGCAAATTTTAGTCTTAAAATACATAATAGTGTCATTATATAGATCTATTTTCCAGTAAGCAGTATTTCACTTTCCATATAACCCCTTTTTATATGACAATACTGTTTGTGGAATGAAATACTAATTAGTGTGAATTACAGTATCTAAATAAAGTAGCCCATCATAATTTAATTTTGTGAGGAATAGCAATGTATTATATTAATCATTTTGCACATGAATAGTAATAATAATACATACCTCATTTTTCTAAATGGTCTATTTTTAGAGCAAGTTCCATTATAATAGGACACAGCATTATGCTTTTTTTCTTTATTCACTTGAACAATCAAGCAACCATTCAGAATTTATAACTTCAGATTTATTAGGAAGAACATAAAAGACAATAGGGTTATGCACCCAATTCAGTTACAAAGAATGGGAAGTCCGTTTTTTCTCTTAGACTAAACGACTTGGGATGCATTCTGAACTGCAACGCGTGCTAAAATAAAATAGTTCCCTTGGAAGGAACCTACCAGTTTAGGACTGACCAAAACATAAAGCAAACTACTAAGGGCATTGTCCAAATGTCTGTTAAACTCTGAGAGACTTGGAGCATCGACCACCGCTCTGTGACGCCTCTGCCAGTGCTTGGCTAAAACAGCCTAGAGCAAAAGATACACTGAGAGTTTCGGCACCCAAGGAATACATCAAAAAAACCCCACCAGCTACATCCCATTTTAACTCTGTTAACATTTTTTAGGCTGGTTTCATACAGCTCTAAAATACCAAAAGAAAAGTCATAATACTCTGAATGTTTCTTGTTCTTAGTATCTTCATTAAAATATTTAGTTAACTGTTGCAGAGGAAAAGGATTTTTTTTAATATTAACCTTGAGACTAACTCTTTCCTACTTCTGGAAAAAATGGCAAATTCCATGGGCAACTTTATTGTAACTCTTGACCACCACTGTAAACCAGTAAGGATAGAAGCTTTCTATTTAACTCAGAGTTAATTACTCTCTCTTTAATTATAATACCTCTGAAGTTATATCTGAGTAACCACTTCTTACATCTTACCTCTAAGTCATGAGCAAGGTCCATCATCACATTATAAAGCTTCTCCAAGTTCACACCTATGTTTCGATACTGAAATAATTTTTTTTAAAAAAATCAATAGCTTTAATGCCAACATAAGAATATTTAGAACACTCGTTTTAAAGAGATTAAACTATTTAAATATACTTTTCTGTGTGTCTGTTATAGTTAACATTTTAATAATTTTCTTAAAACTCTGACTAACACAACTCATAAACAGAGCAGTACAGGTGATGAATATAAGCTGCCTTTGACACTGAAATCAGAATTCTATTACTACTTGTAAAACGAGGAGAAAATTTGCTTTCTCCTGTTAGTACTGCCACTCTTCCAGGCCTGAACTATTCACTTCTTTCCCTTCTGGTTCCAGAAATGTTCTGCACAGAGACGTGCCACTCCATTCAGTTGGCTGGAGGACCATTTTGAAATGCACACAGACACTGAGAATATGATCATTAGCTCCAAGAACACAGTCACTAAAAATAAACTTAACATGAACCTATTAAATTTGTTCAACAGGCTAATACACAAGAAGTAAAGTGCTGCTTTTCATTACTAAATTCCTGCAAGGAAAGATGGCCTGTATCTTCAGTGATGGCTGAACAATCAAAATTCTGAAATAAAATTACATCTGAGCCATTAAGTGCAAAAACACTAGCACTGTCCCATAAAACTTCTGGGTCACAAACCATAGAACCTGGGACAGCATTCCAGAGGACTCAAGTTACGCAATTGGAGGTCCATATACTCTTAACCAAGAATCACATACTGGTCTGTGTTGGAGGCAGAAAAATAGGTTCAACATAATTAATTATCATATGACAATTCTGAGTTTTGTATGTAAAACGGTGAAATTAAAGTAAGTGCTAGTTCGGTTAAAAGAGACTTTTATTCTGTGTTGATAAATATTCTGAAGATACAGGTGAAGTATTGGGGCAACTTGGCCACAATACTTTCAGATAGACATTAAGAAATATCAGAAAGGCTACATAAGACAACAAAAAAAAGAGAAGTTTAGAAAACATGACATACAGCAGAAGATATTAATCAGGTTTATTTAGTTTAGAAGAATACGCTGCAGGGGGCACACATAGCAGTTTTTGTGAAGAGATTCGTATATCAATTATTTTCATGTACACTAACAATTGGCTTAATGGAATCTGCTTAACCTGCAGACTACAAGATTTCTTCATTAAGTTCGACTAGTATCTCTTAGGAACAGTCCAAGTTTTGATTGCTTCAAAAACATGTTTAACCTTTTCTTGCGTATCTCTAGAGTGGAGACATCATTGCTAATCACACAAAACCACAGAATGATCAGTTTTTAACCCCATCTCCTAGTTTCACCAAATGACTCACAGTTATAGTACTGCAGGACTTGCTGAATACCACTGCATTCACTTTATCCACCACTTTGAGGATAATTTAGAAAACTTGAAGTGTACTGCTCTTCAGTCTTTCCATCTCCATCTTAACCACAGATTTTTCCACAGCCTCCTTACAAAGCAGCTGTTCCATCCACTGACCTTCTAGAAGCTCACTGTGCCTTTCTTGAAACAGAGACCAAAACTGCACAGTCTTCAAGATGTAGGTAAACCCAGGTTTTCCGCAAAAAAAATAATAAAAAAAATAGCGCTTCCCTTTTCTTGTTCTCAGTACCTCTCCTTATGGTGCCTACATTTTGTTGGCTTCTTGGCTGCTGCTGCTATACAATGAACTAACATAAAACTGGCAACAATCATTCCAAGATCTCTTCGTAAATTGAAGCTGCTCTGTGTGCACTAATTTCAATTTATGCTCATTTTAGTGAGATCCTCTAGACTTCCATACACTGAGCTCAGCATCTGACTGAAATGTGAGATTCATTTGACGTAAGGCATTATTTTAATAAGGGTAATTAAGACTCCTAAGAAAGGCTCTAGAATAGTTCTAGTTTTATATAATATATGGCGAGGAAGAAATAAGAAAAAAATCCCTGAAAAAGAAAAAAATCTCTTCTTTAGAGGTCCCTTCCAACCTCTAACATTCTATGATTCTGTGAAAGGAAAAACTGACAAGAGAAGCCTCACAGGGTAAACCTGCATTAAATCCCACAAGACTATGGAATTTTGAACAAGGACAGAAACCCAGAATGCAAGGTAATTACTTCAGACACAGTGCAGTGCTGATTGCACATTCCTGTCCATGGTAGTTTGGAATAAATAAATAACAAGTAGAACTGCAGGATGCTATGGTTACTATTTCATGTTTGACAACCTGATTGTAACATACATCACATGGAGGACTCACTGGAGCCAAAATCAATTCCGAGGCCAATAGAATCCTAACCACTTCATAAGATACCCTGGTAACAACACTCGCTGTTTCTTTCTCAACTGTCACATTGCCGAAGACTGACCTAGATTTGACTAAATTCTTGGTGAACAGGGTATTCCAAGATCATTTCTATTAAATACACAGTGGCAGGGTTGAAAATAAGTTTAAAATCTGCTTCCCAAGTGAATTACATCCTTCAGTCAAGAACAGTAAAAAAAAAATCTAAAAGAAAAAAGAAAATAATATATTGACAGGAAATCAAATGGCCTCTTTATCAGGGACTGTAGCAATAGGACAAGGAGTAACTGTTTCAAACTGAAAGAGGGTTTGGATTAGATATTAGGAAAAAATTCTTCACTGTGAGGGTGGTGAGGCACTGGAACAAGTTGCCCAGAGAAGCTGTGGATTCCCCCTCCCTGGAAGTGTTCAAGGCCAGGCTGGACAGGTCTTTGAGCAGCCTGATCTAGTGGGAGATGTCCCTGCCCACAGCAGGAGGGTTGGAACGAGATGATCTTTAAGGTCTCTTCCAATCCAAGCCTCCTGGTTGTGTTTCTGAAGAGTGAAGGTAGGCACAGACTGAGACACAAGTCGTTCCAGAGCCTTGATCCTGTGTCCTCACAGTGCAAGAGTCAGCTGTAAATCAACAGGTAAACATAATCCATCCTCCTAATACTGTATAAAAACTTGCCCTGCATACAAAACTCAGAATTTTGGCCTACTGTTTGTAAAACAGCCCCATTGTTTGAAGAAAAACAGACTTCTGGAACGAAATCATTACAGCAGATGCAGACTGACAAGAACATGCTTCATCCATTATTCGATCCAAACAGAATGTAAAAGGAATCCAAATTACTTGTTGCTGCATAAACACAATAGAATCAGAACTGACTGAAAATTAGTTTATATTAGGACAGATTATAACACATTACTGCTACAAGGGCATGCATTCTAGTACACAGCTTGGGAAATACCAACACAGGAACTAATTTTTAAGAGAATTAGTCAGAGCACAACAGAAGCGCGGGAGGCACCTATTAGTTACAAAAAGTTATGGTTTCGTGCCAAAACCAGAATTACACAAGTGTTGGGGTAATCTTTGCTGCGGACACATTTTCATACTAGATACCGTAAAACAAAGGGGCACTAGCCTTGTAGCCATTCAGAACGCGCTTACAGATTCTAAGTAAGCCGGTGTCTGTTAGCGGGAAGCATGTCCCAGCAAAGTCCCAGCAGCAGCAGAGAGTTAAAATGGGATAATGAATTGCACTGACAGCCCATGCTGATTCCACGTCTGCTCAAGGGCTAGTCATCTACACAACTTCAGCACTGTTTGTGTTGGTCATGTGCGAGTAGACAACACAGACGCCTACTTTACGGGCTTCTCCTTGGCCTTCAGTAGACTTGAACACTGCAAGACTGAGAAATGGTACGTCCACGAAGGTAGGATGCAGAGGGCTCTCTTCAAAGTTGAACTATCTAGATCCACTGGCGGCCAGTTGTGTTTTATAACTGTGTAGATCCTATCAATGAGAACTTCTTTGTCCCCCAGACAGATTAATTTAAGCAGGCCCACACTCATTGAAAAGCCATCAGTCTGTCTCCAAGAAATCTTGTCTGGTTCTGGAACAAACAAGCTGTCTGAAATACTATGCTTTCAGCACCAGCCAGCTTACTTGATTCCATTCTGGAAGCAGAAGTAAGCGCAATGACAGGCTTCAACTGACACCAAGGTTCCTCATCAGCAAACGCAGCAATGGCAAGAGCAGTGTGATGCTTAGGACTCGTTTCAGCAAAGGTTTCACAGGTTTGCTACCTTTATGTTTTGTAAACCCACTTGAGTGGTATGGACTATGTCTCCTCTTACTGAGCCTTTTGGCACAGCACTGAACATACAAACGACACGTAGCACACATTCTGTGCTAGAGAGGCGTGTGGGTGAGCGGCAGGCTACAGAATGAAGCAGCAGTGACTTCAGTACTAAGCCAAGCAGGCAAGTCTGGCACAATATAGAGGGAGCTTGGCTGCAGTCGTGGGCACAAGACCTATCACCTGGCACAGATCCCACTGGGAGTATGGGCAGCTGTCATGGAACCTACCGGTAAAGTCAGAGAAAGAAGGCTGAAGAGAGAAAGCTGGCAAAGTGCTAGGATTCGCAGGAAGAACTGAGACTCACTGAGCAAACAGAGAAGCCAAAAAGAAATTGGGAGAGTCTGGGGAGGCAAATGAACTGCACAAGGGCTGGAGGGAAATAACGACAGGATGTTAGAGGGAGGCATTAACTGGGGCTGAGGTGAAAAAGTCGATATAAATGCACGGGAGACATTTGGGGCAAGGAAGCAAACTAGACCTGGAGTAGGGCAGGAAGGAAATAAGATTTCAATATTTAACTCAGAGCTGGGAATCATAATGACAAAGTTGAGAAATGACAACTAAGAATAGATGTAATATATGAAGAACAAAAGATTGAGTCAAGCTAAGGAAAAGAGACAAGACGAAGGATGCTGACTCACAGGAGAAGATATCATATATAGAAATAACAAACAAGTTTATAGTGTCTGCCTGTTTGCCTGTCCAGTCCTTAGACTAACAGTTTAATTCACGAAGTAGCTTCTGAACAACTGCAGTTTATAACTAGTGGTTTACAGCAAACTGGATCTGGTTTTCTCAGAAGTGTCTGTACCGATGCACATGTGCTGACACAACTGATCTCTGCCCATGCTCTAAGCCCCCTCCCAAATCTGTGCATTTGTATCCTAGAAGCCCTACAATCATGTTACAACACTTGGGTCTAGACACGCAAGACCTGTAAAAAGTGAAAGGTTTAAAAAAAAACAAAAACCCATCAATTAGGTTCATTCACTCTTACTGAGAATAAAAATTCACAGATTTTTTCATACATATGCTTGAAATTCATATTTAACTCCCTGCTGTTCCTCAGCCTAGGATGTGGTGTCTTTACCAGTTGTGAAATTCAGTAAACATGTTAATAAAATTTAACTAAATACAATCTACGTGTTAAAAGGAATTAGGGAACAAAGCATTCCTTTCGGAAAAGGAAGTTGGAAAACATCTTGCAGGGAAATAGATTATAAATTAATTAATCAGATTATAAATTAATTAATACTGTTACTTAACACTACAGTTTTGAAGCAGAATTTTACATTTTTTCCTGGAGAATGTCATAGAATCACAGAACATGTTGGGCTGGAAGGGACTATCTAGTCCAATCCCTCTGCAGTGAGCAGGGAGCCTCCACCACCTCTCTGGGCAACTTTCTGTAGTGTTTCACTAACCTCATTGTAAAGAAATTCTTCCTAACATCTAATTTAAATCTACTCTGCTCTAGATTGAAAACATCGCCCCTCGTCCTGTCGCTACACACCGTTGTGAATAGTCCCTCCCCAGCTTTCCTGTGGCCCTCTCAGCTACTTTAAGGTCTCTCTGGAGCCTTCTCTTCTCCAGGCTGAACAACCTCAACTCTCTCAGTCTGTCCTCTTAGGAGAGGTGCTCCAGCCCTTTGATCATTTTTGTTGCCCTCCTCTGAACCTGCTCCAATAAGTCCAAAGCTGGATGCAGCACTGCAGGTGAGGTCTCACCAGAGCAGAGCAGAGCAGCAGGATCACCTCTCTCAATCTGCTGGCCACACCTCCTTTGATGCATCCCAGGATGCGATTGGCCTTCTGGGCTGTGAGCGCACATTGTTGGCTCATGTCCAGCTTTTCATTCACAAACACCCCAAGTTCCCGTCTGCGGGGCTGCTCTCTATCACATCATCCTCCAGCCTGTGTTGATAATGAGGATTGTCCCAACCCGGGTGGAGGTCCTTGCACTTGGCCTTGCTGAACCCCACGAGGTCCACATGGGCCCACTTCTCCAGCTTGTCCAGGTCCCTCTGGAGGACATCCCATCCCTCTGGCACGTCGGCCGCACCACTCAGCTTGGTGTCATCTGCAAACGTGCTGAGGGTGCACTCGATCCCACTGTCTGTATCATTGATGAACATGACCCCATTTTGGTAGAATGCAGTGAACACTCTCCTCTTTAAAATTAGACTTCCAATGAGTAATATTAATGTAATAATTTTCTTCCATCAGAAAAGCATTATCTGTCTTTTTTTTCCTTGCAATATTCTGTAAGCAAAAGCAATTTGTTCATCATTTCTTTCCTCTTTTAACCCAACCACAAACAATTTAAAATAGACTACTTACTGATGTATTGCTCAGAGTGGCTGTATTTACAGTTCCCATAGAAAAAGGCTTTTCAAAATACTTCTGTATTAAACACTCAAAAGAGGGAACTGTGTCACTGGGGTTTATCAGCCATGCTGCAATCCTTGGATCCAACACAGTACTATCAGCAACTGCAAAAATAAATTATTTCCGACAATCAAAATGCTTAAATAACTTCTCATACTGAGAAACACCACTAAAGCTTTGTCCATCTTTCCTGTAGACATACATAATAAATAGACAAGTACTTATTCTACAAAAAAGTTAAATATTGAATTTGCAATTGTAAAAAATGGTCAATGTCATGACTACATAAGAATAAATTCAATATTGAAGATTTTTTTTGGTTTTTTGGGGTTTTTTTGGTGTGGATTTGGTTTTCATATTCTGTTTTGGTTTGCTTTTTTTTTTTCCTCAAAGTTTAAAATGTAAATAAGCATTTGGCTCTTAACATTGCATGTAAAAACCTCTCTTTCTTACCACTGAAAAATTTCAAAATCAAATTTTGGTTGTGTCTCCACCCAGTACCTTTGTTGTTGCTCTTAATGTGACTGATACCCACAAAATTGCTGCTGGGCATCAGGGGAGAGAAGATTTACTTCCTAGCAACCAGACTTCTGAGATCTTTAATGTATATATGAATTCATATAGGGGTGCACAATGCATTGTTAAAAAAAAAGAAGTCAGAAACTTTTGTGCTACAGAATCACATGTGCTCGCACTGCAATTTCTCTCATGTTGACATAGATACACAGGATGAAGCAATCCTACTGCTGTTTCATTTCCCTTTTAACTACAACCTCAAAGAGGAGGGCAGAGAAACTAGTAACTAGAATGCTTTGTGATATATTCAAAGATAAAATTTAATATCCACAATGCAAGTTACAGTTCTAAAAGAGCCAAACTTGTTTACCTCCCACTGATACAACAGCTGCTGAAAAGAACTTCATGGGGTTGCTCAGCAGATTTTAGGGAAGGAGAAGTTTTAACACTGAAACAGCCTAGGCTCTGCTGGAGAGGCCAGATAACTGCAAGGTACTTCATCTGCACGGTCTCATATCAGGAGTTTATGTCCTCCCTCTACTCCAAAACCTTAGTGAATCCCAGTACCATCTTTACTAGTCAGGGCTGTTTATGTATCCTATTGCTCATTACACCAGCTTGAGAATATGCACAATGATCCCACTGATTACAGTCAATAGGACATAATCAGAAATCGTAGTGTTTGCTTGATTTACAATGATGGGCTTTTTTTTACCTTAAAAAAAAGGCAGAGGTTTTCTGGTTTGGTTTGTTTTTTACCACAGCAGAAATAACGGGCCGGGAAGTATCAACTTCAAAGTTAAAAAAAAACAGACAACAAAACTAAACAAGAATACTTTTGGATACTAGAAATTTCAAGTTCAAAGCATATCCAGCAGAGATGATCTAACCTGGATCTAGTATCTCTCGCGTGTACAGGTTTTAAAAATGCCACTAGTGCCACTACAATCATGATGTTTCGTCCCTCACTTCTCAGTCCCACAATTCTAAATCGCCATTTACTGTGATTTACTGAAGAAGATTTTCAGATGCTGAACACAAGCTGAAGACTCACCATAGAGGGAGTCCTTTCTGAAAGGTCACAATTATTTTTGTAATGCACTCGGTAGTAATCTGACATATGGAATAAAAAAAAACCCCACACCAAAAATCAACAAACCTTCAACATCATATTTATAACTCACATCTTCCATTTGTAAATGCTTTTAAATCCATACAAAAGACTCTTACTTGTTACCATTGAAAAACAAGGACCCATTCAAGTGATTCCTAATTCTGACAACTATGAGCACCGCTGGAATTTATTTTAGCCTTTCGTTTGGAGCAGAGAAAGTTTTTCTAGGGAACATAAAATATGTTCCCTAGAACATGCTTTCAGCTACAGCCAAGATTGTGATGAGAGCTTTTGTTTCCACTGGAAGCTACCCTTAAATTATTCAATTATTTGATTCCTACTCTGACAAGAAATGCATGCCAAGTCCCTGCTCACAACCTTCTCCAAGAAGGGGATTGTTTTCCATGGACTAAAACTGTTTTCCAATATATTACGTAACCACCAAGCCAGTTACTTCCACATCTAGTGATTTTTAACAGAAACATCAAAAGCACAGATATTATAAAACTAGATAGTTACCTTGTTTCCAAGTAATTTCTTTACCATAAACTTGAAGCAGAGTCCTCAGGAAATCTTTTGCATTGAAGCAGATAATCGGGACTTTGCAATGTAGCATTCGAAACAACACTTGCCTGAAAAGAAATAGTTCATTAACACACACTTCCTTGCTACTAGTGAATTTACTAGTGAATTTACTAGTGAATTACTAGTTGAATTTACTAGTGAATTTACTAGTGAATTTACTAGTGAATTTACTAGTGAATTTACTAGTGAATTTACTAGTGAATTTACTAGTGAATTTACTAGTGAATTACTAGTGAATTACTAGTGAATTACTAGTGAATTACTAGTGAATTACTAGTGAATTACTAGTGAATTACTAGTGAATTACTAGTGAATTACTAGTGAATTACTAGTGAATTACTAGTGAATTACTAGTGAATTACTAGTGAATTACTAGTGAATTACTAGTGAATTACTAGTGAATTACTAGTGAATTACTAGTGAATTACTAGTGAATTTACTCTATTTACCTCACACATTTAATTAGCACCTAGTATTAAACAGCTAACATGTAATACTAAGACCTTTCTTTAACAAGACCTTTCTTTAACACAAGATCTTTCTTTTTTCCTGCAAGAACAGCGTAATGTATTTGAATATTAAATTCTCAATTCAATACCTAAAGTTTCATTCTACAATAAATTAATCCTAGCAGATAAGCCTTATCATGTTTATAAAGAAAAAAAAATAAACCCTTATTTGACACTAAAGATTAAATGCAATCTTAATCCAAAACAGCAACTGCCACCCCTGCAATACTTTAATACACCCAAATAAGGTCACAGAGTCTTCTGAGTTAATGTAGTACTGTAAAATCATGATTTAAAAGTTAACAATCTAAATTGCCATAATTGCCTAGTGTTAATATGCTATTTAAATCCAGAATGCTTCATCTTTTTCACATTTTTCCATTCTTTTTGAATATGGCTATTAGTTCCCACATCCACACTATTTTAAATAAGTTTTATCAATTAGTATGTAGATTTTACTAATTATTCTGTAATAGCTTTATAAGTTCTATCGTGAGCAATACAGCAAAATAATTTTTTTAATAGAGCTTTCAAGTTTGTTTATCTTTGATGGTATGAAACCACGGCTCTAAGTTTTGGGACAGATTAGAAATGTTGGAGATGATAGCGTATTATCATATACAGTATGGAACCACATTAAACCACTGCACTATTTCTGAAGCAAATAATTACTTACAGGTTTCATCTAAATGCTAATACTCAACTTGTTTATTATTGAATTGCTACTGGTCATATGTACATGCTTTACTGATATTTTATTCTTGACTTAGAACAACCTATATTCAAATGAACAACAAGTTATTAAACTAGTTGTCATGTAACGCCAACATTACAGCTGGAGAAGTACAAGTAAATGAAGTGATTTAAGTCACAGTGGAGTCGTGGTAAAGATACAACTAACAACCAAGTCCAATATCTTGAAAATGAAATCTCTGTAATTTAATAACCTAAATTCAGCAGTTTACAATGCAGCAATTATTACTGAAAGTTATAAAAGGAAACAATCAATTCTAACATGACTACTACAAGAATCAGATTCAGTCCTCATTTCTCCCTTTATGGGATACTATTTCAAAGTTAATAGTGAGGACTTTGGTTACGCTAACAGGAAAATTAAACCATACCAACTTCTAAAAAAACTAGTCCAATTATTAAACATATACACAAAGCATCTGCTTAACATTTATCTTGTAATCTTGATTAATGTTATTACTGAATATTATGAAAACTTCATTCAGGATTTCAAAAGCCATTTAATAAGCCTGTTGTGCTCAAAAAAATTAACAGTACTAGCACTGTAATAACTTCCATCAAGAATGTACTAGATGAGAAATGTACTTCAGGAAATCTAGAAAGATAAACACAGATGAATCACATTTTTAGGTGCCATATAGCTGTAAGCTGTTCAAAAAGGATTTCTAGGTGAACATACACAAGTCCTACCAGAATCTCAACCTAGTTCTTCAGGGCTGTCTCAGTGATACACTGAGCCCAAAGGAATAGTCTATTCTGATTTGGTTTATACTAGCCCAGGCTTAACAAAGAATTAAGAAAGCTAATAGAAAATTCAATGAGCTTGATGCGTAAGGAGATTAAGCTTGTGCCACATAATCAATATACCTGTTGCTAAAAGCATATGTAAATCAAAACAGTATTTTTTCCCCACATAGTCTCACCAAGCAAATTTCTTGTGAGCCTGTTGTTCTTGTTCCCAAAGAGAAGACCATTCAGTTTTTAAATAAATTAATTTATCATTTTCACTAACAGCATTCCAAGTACAGTCAGCTGAAGAGTAACTGGGAGGGCAAGGGTGATCAGTCTGATTCTTCATTAACACAACTACTCCTTTTACTGATGATGTTAAGACCTGTTAAGTATAATTACAACAGTTTTTCCTCTGACAGATTTTTTACTATAAAGAGAATTTCCCAAATATTTTACAATATGAAACCTATTACATATGCTAGAGTTATTGCATATACCACTGACACAGTAGAGGAGTATGCAGGTGCTTCAACCTTGAAATAAAAATCCACAATGACAGAAAGAAAAAGAGGAAAAAAAATATTCTAATTCAAACAGTCCCACTTTGTTTAGCCCAAGCAGTTTCTTTTTTTCAAGATTTAGTTGGTAAATAAAAATAAAATTTTGTCAAAAGTATTTAGGTTTACATCCATTTTGCATTTACATTTTGGTAAGCAATAACACATTAAACTGGTTCAGATTCTAGGCTCCCAATGAACACAGTTTTGTGTTTATCAGTCGTGCACAAGTTCAAAGGATTCTACAAAACTGACTCTAAATGAAACACATTATTCACTAACCTGCTCTGAGTTGAGCTGCGAAGAACCATCCTGAAATATCATAGTAGTTACAAAAGCCAGGGCCTGTTCTATAGTTGCAAGCAATTCTCTCTTTTCTTCATCTCCCAAATTCCTGATATCACAAGGATAATTTTCAGAAGACTCTGTTTGTCCACAAATACAGTTGTATTTTCTTTCATGTGAAGAAGGTGAGGTCTCTACAGGTAATCTTCTTGATTTCTCTGAACAACAAGCAGGCATATCTTGCTTTCTTTTAAGGGGAGTAGCTATACTCTTTTTCCCATCCTTCAGGTTTCCTGCTTCTACTGAAAGATTTCTTTCTCTACATCCCCATGTTGGCAAGTCTAAATCCTGGTAACAGCTTGCTGCTTTGGTATCTTGACAGCAAAGCACTTTGTCAGTCCTGACTATCTGACCAGTAGTACTTTTTTCAGGACTGGCAGATGTTTTTAATAAGGCTATTGTATAATCATGAATCTCCTGAAGAAAAATGGAAATTCTTTAGTGACCCAATTAATCAGCTTATTAGGAGAAATAAAAATAAACATACGAGTTAATGTACATAAGGTCTGAAGGAAGTGATATTCTATAAAAAAAAAGTTGATACTAACAAAACAGGGTCAGTTTAGGGGAGCCACATTACATAAAATTCAAATATTTATCAGTAGAGATTATTTTATTGATATATATTGCTTACATCCAAAACTATCACTGTTTTTTTTAATCTTAGTCAAACACTAAAAATGGCAAATTAACAACTGTAAAATGCATCTAGTCCAGTAGCCTGTCTTTCATAGTGACTAGACTTTGTCTGAAGAGGGAAGAGACCATTCATTTGCATCTTTAGCTTTAATATTCAGAGATTTTCTTCATGACAGCTTAGTTTATTAAAGAACTTTTGGCAAAGGACCATAATGACTGCTTTGGAAATCCAAGTACGCTGAGTCAACTGGATCTCCACTCATTTCTTCAAACAGCTTACAATGTTGTAAGATGTAACAAAACACAAATGAAAGTTGCAGTGAAGAAGCATTATCAGGTATATGAATAAGTATTATAATCTGTTTAATCCACTATGGCCAGAACAGCTTTCCTACAACAGATCGTCCCTGAACCCCTCTAAAGCAACATGCTATTCAATAGCCTTAAGCAGTCAGTCGCATGCTAACGCTATGATTCTACTTGACCCTTGATTTCCTGCAGAAATTTTCTTGGCACGCCACCAGCTCTAGTATTTTCTTCCTGTTTATTTTGCTAGATCCTTCTACAACCTTTTCAGCTGAGACAGATCCTTGTCTTGATTTCATGAACAAGGATTCTAGAATGGCAACCACCAGCCTTTGCAAGATTCCCCAAGGTAACTGTGTGGTTAACTACTCAAGAGATATACAGAGCTGTATCCTCCTTCAATACTCATCTTACACCTTGAGCATCAACAGGTCTTACAGGAGCTAGCAAGAGTTCAGCTCCTGAGGCTTTCGAAAAAAGTGATGCATTTGCAAGCTGTTTCTCAAAGTTTATTTGGACTATCTATTGCATGTTTACATTTAGCCTAAATGAGTCAGAAAACGCTGGTAAGTTCAACTTTTTGCATTATGACATTTTTTAGTAATTTCCTTCATAGTGTCACTTAGCCATACTTTTTCATAGAAGGATTATAGTATTCATTTTAAGTCTCCAATATTCTGTTTTGAATAAATCCTTATACTATCCACAAATGTTTTGGGCTTGGAGAGAAAATTCCATGTATTTTCTTCAAAAAACTCCTTCCCTTTTAAAAAATTTCCTTTTTTGAAATGACACATTCCTGTAACAACTTATCTTTTAATCCCTCAGAAAGATTAGTCCCTGTCACAGCATTTTAAGCAGCAAAATTTAGAATCTGATTTCACACAGAATCAAATAAAAATCAATTAATCCTGTGAGTTCTCTAACCATTCCACAAAGCAGTTGTTTCCTAATTTTTAAGTCTGTGTCATGCATAAGCATAATATTCACCCACCACATTGAAAAGTAGCTGAAGCCTCTCACAATTACTCTGTTTCTGCTCTTGTAGTACCACCAGTCTCCTTCAGCATCTGTGCTGTCACTCCCTTCCCAAAACCTAAGGCCTTCTCTCTTCAAAAGAATCACAAGTTACTGCTGTGCAGGGCTCTTATCCATTCCCCAAGACAACAGCTTTCACTGATCAAAGGACATTGTCCATCTCGCTCAGACTGTATTGACTGAGCAAGACACAATGACAAAGCCATTTTTTTTCCCCTGGCTTTGCAATATTCCTCAACTCAGTGCCCATATTCCCAAAGCTCAGAACTATGGAGTCAAAAGATGAAAAAGACTTAGACTCCTTGAGAATATACTGCACAGGATCAACTCTATAGCAAAAGTACAAGTAACAGGTTCTAAGTAAACAAAAAAAGGATCCTAAAATCATAATTGATGTGGATGTAGGAAAATTTCACTAGATGCAGCCAGTCAAAATTAGCACGTCATCACCAGAAAAAGGGGGTCCGCTACTATCCATGTGCACCCACAGCTACATGTCTATAACCCAATTTGATTTTTAGGAAACTGTCCCATAAAAGAAATTAGTTTCCTGCATCTTGAGCAACCAAAACAGACTTGCTGAAGTGTCTAACATGCACCAGAGTTAGTCAGGCAGGCTGTGAAATTTGCAGCTGGGACACAGGTACATCTGCAGTATCTGCAATTTAACGATCAACTCAATGGATCTTACAATCGCAGCAGAGATGGGGCTCCCACAGTTATCCATTCCCATTCTTGCACTGACCCTCACTCACACACACATCACACCAAATGCAGAGAGATGACTAAACAAGAAATTGAACTTCCTAATAGAAAGTAATTTTCATATGAATCAGCTCACCTTACGATTATGTGCTAGTGATTGTCCACTGACAGAGGTTTGAGAACACTTTTAAACGCTGCTTAACTATCTAAATGGAGCAACCTTACTTATTTCCAATCAATTTGTCACAAGACTAACTTCCTAGAAAAAGTGTAACAGAAGCAGGGCCAGGACTGTCATAGGTAAATAGATGCCAATTGTGAAACAAGACAGTGAAAAGTTACCTGAACTGTGAGCATACACAATATATTGTGATAAAGCTGTTTATAAAAGAGCCAATCTACAACAACTTCAAACCTGCTTTAACAAGACTGGTTTTAGTGGTCTACAATCTTAAAATATGCTTGCCTTTTCATTTTTCAGATGTGCATCCTTATCATCTAGTTTATTTTCCTTTGTCTTCTCTATACCTTAAAAAAAAGGAAACATTTTATAGTAAAAATTAATCTGAAAGTAGTGCATCTAACTTAGATTACAAAGATTGTTACATTACTGATACTTTTACCAAACCTAAAATAAGCACAATAAAATTTTCCATTACAACCATTTTACTCAAATTAATATAATTCATGCTTAAAAGGGCCCTGCAGGTTCCTAAATACGAATACACAAAAGCACACTCTGTCTCCGTTAAAGAAGTAATTAAAATTTGCTACAAAGCAGACTAGCATTTTCCATGGTATTCAGAAGATGCATTACTATAATACCATAAATATGCATACCTCCTCCTTTCAAGAAAACAAGTCTCATCTTGGTCAATGGATAGCTGGAGGCATGGGAAGAAGAAAAACGAACAAACTCGACACACTGCACACATTTTAGCTGTTTTCTTGGAATTGAGGAGTATTATTCCACAGTAGTTCTCTGCACTATTTGCATATTCATCCTTAGCATATCATGCCACACCAAGAACTGACTACGCTCGATCTGCAGAGGATATTTTTTTCACATTGCTCATCCCTGTGACTGACCAGATGTCGCAAGATCAGATGAAACCAGACAGCAAGGAGAATTCAGAACTATCAAACTGATGAAGGGTAAGGTAATGACCAGCACCCCAAGAAGCAGGGTAGCTCTAAGTGCTGAAAATTAAAATAGATTATCTGTAGAATATTAATTGTGAGATTGCTTAAAATTATGATGAATAACAATTTGTTTTGTCTTATGAGTGACATTGTTTAGCATGATTTAGTCAGATTTACTGAAGCCTTAGGCCCAGACTGTGGATTTCACCTAAGTACCGATTAGCTTAGGCTGAAGAAAGGCCTGGAAACCAAACCTAATTGAGAAAGGCAAGATCAGTAGGTGCTGCATCCTCAAGATAAAGAAAAGAACGCCCCCCTGGAGTAAGAGAAAGGATCCAATTAGGAACAAGAAGACCCCAGACCCAAATATTCCTACTGGACCAGGCCATTTTTTAAGGGGAGGGGAACTTGGATTGTAAGGCTATTTCCCAGGGATTTCCTTGTTTGGGGTCCCTTTCAGATGGTTCCAGCTTGATCTGAAATAAGCCAACTCTTTGGCAAAACTGAAGGTCCGAACTCTTCTTTACAGTTGGGGGCTAAGACTGGATCCAGCCACACTTAAACTCCTCTCCACGAGGAAGTTTAAAAAGCCAGGGGGTCCAGTCTGAACATCACAAACTTGTCAGGAGGGTCTTCCATGACTCTTCCGTAACAGTAAGTGCAGGGCCTGACACAGAGCCCTGTGCCACAGCACAGCTGTTTGCCTGAGGCCATCACCTCGCCTACTGCTCTGAAAGCGGACAGATGCTGTAGTTTAAGGAAGGCTTTGTAAATGCACCTCAGGACTCCATGCCATGCTAAACCAAACAGGTAAGATGCACTTTCTCTTTTCCACCCTCAACACTGCCCAGTAAACCAAAGAAGAGGAGAGGCAAGTGAAGACTGGAATAAAATAACAAGGGGCAACGGCCTAGCAGCAATTACAAGCTCAGTAGGTAACGACAGAGGAACAGGGATAAAGAGAACTCCACGGAAGTGTGGGTCTCTCTAGAGCTTACAATCAATTAGGGTTCCTTTATCTCTAGATTATTTTACTGCTCAGCTAAAGACACCTCATGGGCAAGATATACATTTAGTTCCCTTCTGATTTCTGGTCCGTACCAAGTACAACTCTTCGCTGCCATTTTCAACCACGGAATTTGTGCTATCAGCTACAAGACACTTTCTGAATGTAATGTGATGATGACTAATGTCAAACAAAGCATAAAGTGATCTATTTCTATTTACTGAAACTGTTTCAAAAAAGTATTTGTCTTGGAAATCAGGACCCTGTACTTACAATAGCAGGGAAAAAAAAACAACCCCGAAGCATTTTCAAAGACTAACTGGCTTAGTATTACATGCAGGTTCATGTTGGTGTATGTGTATAATCAGCTATTCATCTCCAGCTCAGACTACTAACCCAAGCTGTTAGAATAACGAATATAGCATAGTTGTATTTGTAGCTTTATCTTATGCTTGGTTTCCTGATACTTCTTACAACGATAAAATTGTAATTTAAGAATATTAACTGAGTTTACATTCAGCACTTCTAACTGCTTCACAGCTGGATACTTTTTCTTGACAAATTCACCCTCCAGACAAGATGTTTACATTTCTCTCCTTCAGCACAGAATACAGGACGACAGGTATCAAAAGTCGCTACTCAACCTCAGCTTTCTGGTTTATGAAAAAGCATCGCCAGATGGCAGTAGAAACCCAGTCTTGCCTTCAAACTCCTTAAGGCTAGAAGAAACGATTACAAGCTGGACTGACAAGATAAATCACAGAATTTCACCCACTAGTTCCACTTTGCTGACATTTGTACTACTTGAATCCAATATTTACCTTCTAAAGACGGAGTTTTTCCAGTAAGTAGAATTTAACTTTGAAAGATTTACCAATTAATTACAGTTAAATGTGTCTTGAAAAAGAACAACATGACAGGTTTCAGTTTTTTTAAGCAATGTAAACTTTTGTTCTCTCCAGATCCATGTTGATGAGCTAAAGCTATACATACGCATGACATCAGGTAATTTCTTAAAAGTAATTCAAATAAATCTGTTCTTAAGCCTGTACAGTAAAAACAATTGTAATTACTACATGAAAAATAAGAGCAACAAAATCAGCCATGTGACCCTGCCACTGCTAAATGCTTGGACTGTTCTTTCAACCCTCCAATGAATAAGGATTTAGCAGCACTACAAAGACAGAAAAGCTCATTTGGCTAGAGGTACCAGACACTTTCACGGTGGTGTTTTTTTTTTTAAAAAAAAGGAATCTGTAATTTTACAGCTTGACAGTGAGTGAACCATCAAGAGCATACAACATAACATGACATAGATGTTGCACAGTAGAGCTCCCCAGTCTAAGACAAAAAATACTACACAGGAAAATTAAGGAAAAGAAGTAGAATGGCAAATCAACTGAGGCAGAAAAGAGATCTAATTTTCCCTAACATAACCTGGATTTTGGTCCAAATATACCATTTTTAAATGAATCGATATTTCTTCAAGTGTGTATCACTGATTTACATAGCAACAAACTACTACCCTTTTCAGTGCTGCATCATCAGTTTCCACTGATCTACTGAGAGAAGAGCCTGATCTATTATTTACATAAAACTGAGGCTGCAACAAACACCATGTACACAAGAACAAATGCTAGATTTAAACCTCTAGGATGTTCCAGGATCTAGTTCTCAAGAGAAAACAGACAACTGCAATTAAGTAAAAACTCTGCCTATTTACTTCTTTCAAGAGCTACAAGACTGGCAGACTATGAAAGGTGCAGAACTGAGAATAAAAATTCTGCCTTGCAAAACCTCCCTAGTACTCAGGAGACTCCAAGTAAGATTTTCTCAACAGTCAAAGATCTGCTGAGGCACTTTAACATTACTTAACGTGCTCTACCACTGGGAATTCGGTTCACTCGTCCTCCTAGAATTTCACAAGGAGTGAGTTGCTAACAAAAGTATGTTTAAAGGACAGACACGAGACTAGAGAGTTCAGAGGCCTTCTGGCGAGCTCTTGTGATCTTTAAATATCTAGTCCGGAGTCAAGTTAACATATATATTTAATTTACAGTATTAGTTAATTGTTTGAAATTCTCATATACTTCTATACCACATATCAGGAATGGGAAGAAAAAAAACCAACACAACACAACTGAGGGTACTGGCAACATCCTAGTTCCTTGCATCCACATAACTCAAACCAGGACAAATTAGAAGAGTCCCAGCAAGTATCAGATTTACAGCTTAACTCTTCTCCTAAACCTGGAAACCTAAACCTTTTTTTTCTTTTTTTCTCTAAACGGGGACTAGAGGTTTGATACTGTTTCATTTGTTGCAGTTTTTCAATTGAAAATATAAACACTTAAACAGGCTAAAGATTTACTCACTCTGGTTATCCTTTCTGCTAGTCTGAATTTCTCCTACAGGAAAAGACTGCAAAGCTGCCATAATTCTCTGAGCGATATCAGACAAAGGCACTGTAGAAGTCTCACATCCTATGTATGATGTGCACTGCTCCATTTTTAAGACTAGACCTAAACACAGAACACATTACGCATGACATCAGGGCCACAGAACAATCTGCACTAATATTATGTTGAAATTAAAGACAAAAATATAGTGAACGTGGTCGTTCTCCTCTATAGAAAATAACATTTCCTCCCTGACATGCCTATCAGTTTGTAAAAATCAGTGAATTGCAACCATTTACAAAAAACAGTAACTGAAACTTCTCTGAAATAGTGTTTTAATACACCAATAAAAAATTAGGCAGCCCTATTAAGGTACAGCTAACTTCTAACAAAAATAACCTGATGAATAAAACAAGAATTATCATTTATACCCAAGATACTTTCCCCCTCCTCAACGTAGTTAAACTAGTCTATATCTAGCATATGCATACATTTGCTGTTATTGATGCTCAGATCTTATCAAGAAAAAAAACAACTTTCAAGTAACTGTCCCAAGAGCCAACACAAGACAAAAGAAACAAATATTACTATCATGATATATAAATGTTAGAGCCACTGTTTCAGAAAATACTTACGATAAAAGACCATTTCAATTGATGTACTCAAGTACTATTAAATATTAAGTTTAGTTACTATAGTTTGTCAATTTGAGAAACAGATTTTGTCTCTACAAGCTTTGACTGCAGCTACTGATATTCTAGATTTTACTCTTTTCCAAAAAGCAGTTGCTTTTCCAGTTGACCTATGGCCATACTCTAGGATACAAACAAAATACTTGGGAGAGTCCTTAGAAAATTAGAAAGAACTGTGTCCATACTGATGATTTGTCTTTACAGCCTCAGGGACAGATCAAAATGAGAACCGAGCAGACTAAATATAAACAAGACACTATGCATGAGATTAGGCCTAAAACCAACATACACATTCACCACAAATATTGACAACAAAGAACTGAATTAGTGATTGGCGTTTAATAATAAAGACAATGTGTAGAGTTAAGCAACATGAAATCCAGATATAAAAGACATCCAATCAGTAAAAAAATTAAAAGATTTAATAAGTTATACTTACATAAAAATTAAGTCTGTCATCAAAATAGTTTAACACTGTTACTGAAGTTAAAAGTTAATTTACTAACCTTCATCAATACATACAATGCTTGAAAGCAAGCACAGATGAGCCCATCAAAATACAAAAAGACTGGAAGTTATCACACTATAAAAGCCTCTTTATTTCCAGTGGTATACTAGAAAGCTATATAAAAAAACCTGATAAATAGTCTAACAATGCACATGAAAGCAAAGTATGAAAACATCAGGACTCTGAATAGAAACACCTATCATTACGAATCATAGAGCAAAGCCACAAGTCCAAAAGGTAAATCCGAAATTCTCTGTCTTGAAGAGCCCAGTAAAAGCATTGACAGGTTTCAATGGAGAAGATGAGCTGTTAAGTTAAATTAAGAGATATAGGAATGATCTTAAAACAGATGGTCTTGGTACTTGAAACAGATCCTGGTGCATATTCCAACACATTTTAACAAAACTACATCTTCTTAGAACTGTAACGGAAACAATCGTGGAATATGTGCCTCAGAGAACTCTCCTCTTCAGAATGAGCATATTACATTCGTGTTCCAAAATCCAGAATGCCTTCTCTACATTTATTTTTCAGTTCATGTATCAAAAGTTCTTAGCATGCAAGAAAACTTGTCCTAACGGTATGAAGTGTTCCTTTTTCTACTATGTTGCGTGCAGTGGAAATTAACGTACAGGCTAGCAGAAGAGCGGCCTGAATGCAACTCATTCAAATAAGAAATGCATTACTTCATATCAAAAAACTTTGACAAACTAGATTTTTTTATTGGCAGGCAGATGCCAAAGCCAAAAAGCAGGACACAATCCAAACTTGGTAATCATTGCAGTTAAACATACATTGCAACAGCAGATAAATGTTAGCCTTGATAAGCTAATACTTATCAACTCATAAACTTGTAGAGAGTTTACATGAACATGCTTTCCTTTCTTAAGAGTATGAAGAAGTTTAAAACATTAATAACTCCACCGGTGAAATTCTAATCTTCCAAGCCACTGGTTTTAGCCTCAGACTGCTGCTCGAGCTTCTCCACCATCTCCTTCAAGTGGTCTTCATCATTGAAAAAATATGCATACAAGTTTCTTTCCACCTGATGCAGTTTATTGGACTCTAAAAAGTTTCTCTTTGACTTCAGGTCAGCAATCAGATCCATAAGGAGTTGATTTAGTTTATTTAAGTCAGCTTCTAGCTGATGAAACTGCTCAGTAAGTTCCTTAAAAAAGAGACAAAAAAATATTAATTTTATATTGTTAATACACTAGGTGAACTAGAAATACAAAACTTTTGTTTATAAGCGAAAAGTCATCAGAAAGAATAGAAACACAGGCAATAAAGGACTCTAATATACATAATTTTTGAGCTCCCTCTAATGGTACTTTTATCAAACTATGGAAATATAATTTCTACTTGTTTACTAAACCAGATGACTTAAGACAGTAAATATCTGGCCCTCAATTACATAGACAGTTGAATGACATTTTCAATCAATTATAAGTCATCATAGCTAGTCAAATCTCAAAGTTGAACAAGAAAAAAAAAACACAACAAAACCAATTTAATTCTGAAATTATTAGTTACAATTTTCCCAACCGTCATGACAGTTCAGTATAAGCAGGTTAGTCATCTACTTAAACATTATTTCCTTATTAAAGGAATGATTCTACGATTCTATGAAATACTTTTCTTGATAAACAGTAATAATAAAGAGACTTCGCTATGTTTTAAGATTTAACTTGAATCAACAGAAACGTATTTAGTTGATTTAATAATATGTAATCTCCAAATATACATTGTTCCAATTACAGCATTTCTTTTTAATAAAAGTTGGTTTATATGTTTCAAATTCACTTGACAGATGGAAGTGTTAAATATATTTTGATGTATTTAACCAAGGAAGAATTATGCAACAGAAGACTTTTTTTTCCCCAGTTTTGAGATATCTATTATTTAGAAAACCATAACAACTTGCATCTAACAACCCTTATTTCTATTTATAAGACACTCAAATCCCAACATCTGGGAGCTCTGTAGCAGGACTGTCCTACTACAACTGTCCTTCAAAAATTTTATATTCTTTTGTCCAAAAGAGCCACCCATGGTCAGGCTTTTTAAGGGGCCAGCTGTCCTATTCAGATGTTACATGTAATAGGGGGGGCAAAAAAGCCCATATGAAATAAATTATTTAAATATTTCAGTGACAGTATATCCAGACCACATATTTCCCTACCATGAACTTACTAGTAATACAGAACTGCACATGCCTCTGAAAGATATTGAGTCAAAGGCAACAATTTGCTCAGAAACAAAAAGTTACTTGCCAACATTTACAGAATCCAACATTTGCTAAGAACAATGTAAATACTGTGCCCATCATCATTATGCTAATAAACTTGTTACTGACATGTGGGAGTCAGTTTGTGTGTCTACAACCTTCATAGTACATTTTTTTCTCAGTAAAAGAGCAGGAAACACATTAATAATAATTTTAATAACTAGATAAGAGCTCACCCGACTACTGAGTTGTATCTGATTTCCTCCATGATAGAGAGCATCATGAAGGGTATCTACACCACTCTTCAGCTTGGACAAATGTAGACACTGTTCTTGAGAAGTCGCTGCTATCTGATCTTGTACTCTAGCACAGTCCTGCTTTAACTTCTGAGCCATCTCCTCCAGGCTTTCGTATGTTTTAAACAACTGTGGTTTTTTATTTTCTCCTTCCAGAAGCTCATACAGCCTGTAACAAGTTAGACACACAAGCATTTTTAAGTTTCCTAAGCACTCCTGACAGTACTGCTCAGAGTACTCTTATACACTGTTGTATCTCACACTAATTTCATGATTCTGTCTATATATAGTTAGTACATGATTAATAGCACTCAAAAATATTTCAATATTAAATTAACAGCAATGGAAGACTGAAGTAACAATAAGTAACCACACAATGAATGAAAAAATCAGTTGACTGTGCTTTTGTTAACTATTTTCCAACACTTCAAGGACAACAAAGGAAGATACGACTTTTTGGAGTGCTGAAAAACAGCAGACTTCAACAGCCAATAAGAAATAAGAGCAATCTTTATAACATTATCAAGCTTACTGGTGCATTTTCCATTTTCTATCTATGGAGAGACTGCTTAGAAATTCTCCAATTAGTTAAAAGTCATGCAAAAGATAGCAATATTTGCTATACCAGACTGTGCCCTTATAGTGCATCAGGAATAGCCTGATACAATTACAGGTAATTTTGCTCAGTTGCTACTACCACCTCTGCATATTAAAATCTTTAGGAGTTGAGACCCAATATAGACTCAGATTGGCTCTAGTAAGTGCAGGAGCTGTATTTCAAAAGTAAATAGGTTTCTTTCAAGCATCTTCTGATTAGGAACCTTTTAGAGCTTTAATGTCTTCAACTTCTCTTCCCTTTTTAGGAGGGGAAAAAAAAAAGTAAAAAAAAAAAAAAGTGAAAAAGTAGCCAGACAACATTCAGTTATTTGGAGACTTCGTAAAAAACCCGAGCAAAATGCTCCAAGTTGCCAATGCAAACACACAATGGAAACAAAACTAGTGCTGCCTAAATTCTTGCAGTTATACACTGTGCAAAGACCATACTCAGCTATCATTTCATAGCTACTTTAAAAAAACCCACACTTAACGCATCACTTTAAAGAAGGACAAGCCTGACATTAATACACTTCATCAAAAGGTTGAGTCTTGAAATAATGGCAACACAGCACACATTCCTACTGTATCACCTGAGCTACGAGATGTAATTACATGGTGAAAAACCAGACTCCTACGTGGGTGACGGGACACTGAAGCCAGATGGCAAATCAAGCAGTAGAAATAAGCTGAACACATTACATGTATTGAAGTTGTTCCTCTCCGTTATCACATGGGGTTTTTTGCAGGCTAAGCTGATGAGGCCAGGCATGTGAAGTAGGAAATCACTGTTAGTGATCTATAGTTCTAGAATAACTTTATTTCAAGAGGTCCTAAATCAGGACACCATATAAGGCAGCTTTGACTTTAGACATTCATTATAATCTGAATATTGCTTGGGAATGCTTCAGTAATATTACAAGACTGATAATTGAATAGTTTTTCCTCAGGTAAACCTGAAAATAATTTCAAAGGATAAGCAAGAGGCAAGCCTCATATTTTGACAGCTTCAGTTCTGGGGAATTCAAAACACTAATTTGCTATAGTAAGTAACCAAGAACTTGGCAGGTAAAAACTCTTTGCTCACCTAAGCCTTAATCTCCCCAATACTACTTAAAATTAAGTCAAAGTTCAATATAACGCTCACCTGCAAGAGAAACTGTCCTTTGAACTAATAACCTTTCTTGGCTTTGCATGTTGAGTTTGCTCAGTTATCACCTGCAGTCTCTGTTGTAACTCGGTGCTGCTCTGTTTCATAGATTCTACCAAGTTCTCAAGCTGACAGCAGATCTCCTTATGTTTCCTCAACTCCATTTCATACGCTAGCTCAATCAGTTCAAATGATGCTTTCTGTCTTATCAAATGCCTGCATACTTCATCTTGTCTTGAAGCATAATAGTCCTGCTGAGCAATCTGATGATCCAAGTATGCTTCCACCACTGGTGTGCTTAAAAGTCGAGCATTCTTTTTCAGAAGAGGAAGCAGCTCTTCATTATTTAACTGAGCTATATCTTCTTTAACTGTTGAAATTGTATCAGTTAAACTAGATATTTTGGCATCAAGGTTCTCTTGTTTTCCAATGTCCTGCATAAAATAAAAAAAAAATTCATTTCTTTACTGTTCTTTCCACGCCACTTCCCTAACACACTTCCTCAGTTCACAAGATTCATGTACTTGTTACATTGAAATCGCTGCATCTTTTGAATCTATAAAATTAAATGAAAATACCACAAGTAGTTTTACAGAACTTTACAACACAAGGCAAATACAGATTTAAAAAGTAGATATCAAATAAACATATGTCAATAAATAGTACCTTCATTATATTGCAGGGTCACGAAATGGTTGATTGTGTAAAAAAAATATAGAAGAGCTTTATTTTACTTAACACCCAGATTTCAAGAATTTGTAACTGAAATCTCACATGCAAACATAAGTTTTTATATTCAGTCAGATGACTACAAACACTGCTATCAGAATTAATCTTTTTCAAATTACTCTAATCAAGTCCTATACACTAGTCATCCCTAAATGAAAATATACAAACTGAAATGATGACACAAGTTAGTCCATGACTGGTACAAGCTAGTATTTTTCCTTCTGTTAGGATTTCTTCACATTTTTAAGTTCCAGTAGCCATATCTGCCCATCATTCACTGAGATTTCTGGGACTTCAACAATAAGATTCATTTATTGGGTACAAATACTCAAGTTTCAAAACAGTCAGTGACTAGAACTTCTTAAGTTTATCCTACAGAACATAAACAGGAATACATTTATCATATTAGCTCCTCAATACTAAAATGTTCCAACCAAAGGCAAGCTTTTGTTTGTTGTATAAAAAAAAAACAAGAATCAGTTACAATTTGAAATGTCAAACTAAACTAGAAAGGTATTACTAAATTCCAGGTTTTCCAAAGTAGTAATTCTGAAAGTAGAATTAAAGGTACTCTACCACACTGAAGAATTTCTAACTATAGAAACTGGAGCTATTTCACCAGAGAAGCTTTGTGAGCAAGACTAAAACTTCATAAAGTGCAATTTCACTATGTAAAAATAGTAACACAGAAACTACTTTTACTGGAATTCATGAACACGCCTGCCTGTTTAAAACTGCACTACCTTGTATCACCTTTTGCAGCTTACCTTGTTGTTTAAGGACTGCAGCATGCTCTCTGCACATTTTATAGCTGAATGCATGCTCTCTTCTTTAGCTTGCATCTGAATAAGCTGATGCTGAGCACAAATATATGCTGTCTGGAGCCTGGCTACCTCTTGACTCTCTTCAGAAACTTTATCAGTCTCATCACAAGTGACTTCTTTGCTTATGTCTGCAAGCTGAAAGCTGCCTTCATTTGAATTTTCAATCCACTCAGACATACCTTGATAAAAATGGGTTTTCATGTACGAGGTAAGTGCTGCAGTGCATTGCTCTTCCTGAGACAAATACCTGTCCAAAGAAAGTTGGGAAAAAAACACTGGATGTAGATCTGACGCTTCGTCCGAATCTGAAGCAGTGAAGAAAGAGGCAAATTTCTTAGCTGCATCCAAAAGAGACAGCAGTTCATTATTAAGCTTATTATTTGCTGCAGTAAACACTTTCAGTCCTTCTTTCAAATCTTTATGTGCTTCTCCCTCTTTGCTTTTTAATGTTTGTAATGTATGGCTGTTCACAGAAACCATCATCTCAAGCTTATTACGACGATAAATTTGAAGTTCTTTTAAGCTCTGAAGAGTTTGAAGCTCATCTTCCAATTCCTTCAGTTCTTCCTCTTCTTCCTCCTCCTCCTCTTGGCTACTGTTCTTCAAATCCATGGGCTTCAAGGTTTTAAGGACTTCATCCAGTGCATTTCCTTCCAAAATGGGTTTACCAGACTCAAGAAGATTATCAAAATCTTGCAGCTCTTTTTCAGATACCACATGCTGCTCATTTACATTTCCACAAAACCACTCCAGAAACGATTTGTCTTCCAAAGAATCAAACAGCCAGTCAAAATCTTCTCCATTAAGCTCATCAGCTTTTGGATATCCAATTTTCTTAAGAGTTTCCACAAAATCATTTCCACAGCTCATTATTAAAATATCTTTTGCAAGCAGAAAAGATCCAAATACATGAAAAAATCCAGGATATTATTACAGCTGTATTTTTTTTGTCATTTTAAATGGATATTCAGTATTTTAGTTAAAAGATTCTGCACAGGGAAAAAGGAAGTGTCAGATCATATCAGAAAACTGAATGCTTTTCTGGATCAAAGCGGCTATTTAAAGATAAAAAACCATATTTTTTTTCAGGGTTATCTTAGCATATTTGGTTTATCAAATCAGGACACATTTTTACATCAATTAAATCCCCGATCTCCGCAAGCCCTTATGATTTTCCTTAATTCACATAAACTTGCTACTAAAATAGAATACTACAATTAACATAAAAGCAACAGGTATAAACACTAATTGGCCTGCCAAAGTGATTCAGTTATATAGTTTTCCCCACATTAAATAAAAAACCCACTCACAATCATTCTAACTCTTGCAAAACAAGAGGAGCTTTCAGCTTGTTCTAAGAACAAAACTACTTTGATGTTACACTGCACTTCAAGATCTTGCTTACAATTTTTTGACTTCAGCAGCAAGGAGAATCTTGTCTTCTAAGCTTTTATTTTAAAATTTCCTCTGAAAATTCAATAAAAAGTCCTTTAACTTAAAAATTTCTGAATACAACAATGCAGTGGTTTTTTGAACAACTATAAAAAAATAAAGATTAGTGTAAATACTCTTGTAAAAAGAGTTGCAACTTACACGAAAAAGAACTTTGTTGTTCTACTGTTTTCCAGCAAGGAAATAATCAGCTTTGGGATCCTAAAGTGAGTGCACCGGACAGTAAAGATAGGATAAATTATCAAGAATGTCAGGAGGCCTTGTCTGCAATACTCTGGTAATATCCAGGGTAGGTGGTTGGTTGGGTTTTTTTAGTTTGTTATTACTTAATACTTTGTAGAAAACAAACTTCAGCTGAAAATCCTACTTTGCCAGCTGGCCGGGAGGGCTTGAGTGCTGAACAAGTTAAAATTCCGTGTGTATTCAATTTAGCTTAGAGTTACCAATTATACATGAAACAGAACTTGCTGTGCAAGTTTCAGTTCACAGGGCAGCCTTCCAACTGCCCTCTGCCTTCTATGCTGAAAAATGTCTGACGCCAGAATAATTAAATCATAGAATGGTCATATAACCGCGGAATGGTTTGGGTTGGAAGGGTCCTTAAAGACCATCTCGTTCCAACCCCCCTGCCATGGGCAGGGACACCTCCCACTAGAGGGACACCTCCCACCAGACCAGGTTGCTCAAAGGCCCGTCCAACCTGTCCCTGAACGCTTCCAGGGAGGGGGAATCCACAGCTTCTCGGGGCAACCTGTTCCAGTGCCTCACCACCCTCACAGTACAGAGCTTCCTCTTAATGCCCAATTTAAATCTACCCTGTTCTAGTTTAGTACCATTGCCTCTGACTCCTCCGCTACACATCCTTGTAAACAGGCTCTCCCCAGCGCTCCCGTACGATCCCTAGACGGCCGCTGTAAGGCCTCCCCGGAGCCTTCTCCTCTCCAGGCTTAACAGCCCCAACTCTCTGA